CCGGTCCACTGAAGTGGAGTGAACCACCCCACACATTCAAAAGGCCACGCTTTGATGGACTGCAAGGGTTTTCTGGCTGTGAGCGAGTAGGCAAGATTTGGCTGTTTATGCCATTTCTGGACCAGCCATGGCACATGCAGTAAACCTATGGTATAAGACTAATAATAGCAGATCCCATTCTCTCTGATCTCAGGAAGGTCATTGGTGGGAATAACAGAGAACAATTGGTATTTGAGTAAATTGGGATCATATCCTGCCACTGGCTATGCTCCAACAGAGCAGGAAAGCGTTATTAGACACATTTACAGACTGGCGAGCGGAGGCACCGGAAGCTTAAATGGCTTCCAACCTCATCCAAGGCAGGTCAGAACAGAAAACGCGGATCCAGATTCCCTGTGGGCTTTCCTAAGCACCCCAGGAACTGGTGTCATGACTGGGAACAAAGCCGCTTTCCAACCACAGGCACACTCTCCTTCCAGGGTTTGAGCCTAGCCCATGATACTGCGGCCTGTGGTGCTACAGAAGACAGACTTGGTACTTCAGGGAATGCAACTAGGAGATTCCCTTGTGACTGGATGCATCTGCTCCCACCACGAGTCTGTAACCAATTTGATTTATTCCAAAGTCCCAGGCATGTTCTTCCACCAGTAGATCAAATCAAGCTCAAACAGCATGAAAAGAAAGGGGCCATGTCTTAAAAGCATTGTAAAGTGTAGGTCACACAGGAGGCATCTGGGGTTTTTATTAATATCCGAGTATTATAAAAATGAAACGCATGCAATTATCACACATGGTAAGCAGCGGTATTTTTATCATTGGATTTTAAGTAATGTGAGAATTGACCTCCCGATTTATAGTCTCTAGAAACCCCCTTTATAAAAATATAACCATCTACTGCCCAGTTGTGCATAGCTTATTCTATATATAAAACATCCCTGACATTGTTCAGACACTTGCACAGGGAGAGATCAAGAGTGGCTGAAATGGTACCTGCCCCTGGCAGAAGTATGAGTCACATCCTTTCTATTGCTTTTGAAGTCCTGTCCTGGACGCCCTTATTCAGAAAGCTCTCGTTGACGATGGTGGGAGATGTGCCTCATTGATGACTGGAAGATTAGAGACAGTAGATTATCGAGCAACTTCACAGGCTGGAATCTCATTTCCTTGGTATTCACAAGGTCTGCTTCAGCCGATCCAGGCCTGATCTTCTGATTAAAGCTCACTGCTGGGTATCAGGAAATCTGGACTGTCCCCCCAGCTCTGCCAGGGACTTCTTGCCAGCCTAGGCAAGCTTAGAAATGGGTATGCATTGGGAGCACTGCTGAGCCTGCTGGTCCCGGACACATGGCTGCAATGGTGAATTGAATGGTTAATTCAATGGTGAATTGAATGGTTAATTTTCATTGCCACGTGCCTCTTTCGCCACCTCTGAAATGTGGAGCAGGAGATTCCCATCACAAGACTCTTGCGAGGCCAACGTGAGTTTGTTAGAGTTTGCAAATTGCTTTGATAGCAATAGCCTTGGATGAAGGGCTCTGTGTCATGGCAAAGGATGAAGGTCATAGTTGAAAAGCAAGAGTTCCTCGGACAGAAGGAAACAGAAAGACAGGCCTACAAAGAGGAGTGAGTGCTTGCTAAAGTCATTGACCTGTTCAGAGAATAGCTCAGGTTCGCATCAGACTAAAACCTCAGGGATATTTCAGTGGATCTCTATTCAGGAGGAAGAAATGCTCCCAAATGACTCGCTGCTCTAAGACTGACTGACCCTGGAGAAAGTATTATCCCAAATTACAGTCCCAGACGGTGCAGAGAAAACTATTTAGCTGTCAACCTGTCAAGAGCGCTGCGTTCCACGCACTTGTAGCCACGTAGGGAACCTCTAGGCACGTTCCCGGCTGACTTGAACCGAGCATGAAACCTTCCAGGCTTCACACATGTTATCACCCAATTGACGTGAAACTCTCCAAGGGAAGAGCCTGGGGTTTGTTAGAGGGAACCCACACTTTAACGGCTGACTTTGTTATTTCAGGTTGTGACAGTTTGGAAAGGCGTCAGCTAATCCCAAATCATCTGCTTTCACTTCAGTTTTCCCCCTTCCATTCAGAATAGCAGGCTATATTTGCAGAGCTCAGGAACAGCTGTCCTGCCAGAGCAGGGCGGCTGCCGTAAGATGATATTATGCTACATGTGGGCTCGGTCCCAGTCTGTTCTTAATGAAATAAAAGTCAAATCGCTGTAGGTCTTTTTCTTAAGGGCAGCAACATTGAAATGGAAGATGATGGACTACACTGCCGCTTCTTACAGCTGAATGACCTTGACTGTGGTACTGTTCACGGGGGCTCCTCTACACACGAACGCTATACCCTTCTAAGCTGCCCTTGCATAAGTAAAGCGGCACAATAGTACAGCTCCGCCAGCGTGGATGCAATTATTCCCCTGCCAATGCGCGTATCCCGAAAGGGAAAAACAGCTCTAACAGCAGAGCTGAATATTGGTGCCAAGGTATCTGTACAAAGGGTTGTACAGAAATCGTTCCTTTCAGGAGAGAAAAGGAATCACGCCTTTCACCAATATGATGATAGTGATACAAAAGACTTTGCGATGTCCAAGCTCTGATTCATTAAGTAGTTGGTAAATGAGTCACATGACTGAATGGGACACTGGGGCTTTTAATGGGGTTTTCTCTGTGCCTAGATATCTGGCATGGAAGCTAAGACCAGGTCTTCCTAAATGCTAGAGGAGCTTGCCTGCAACAAGCATACTGTGTGTAGGACTCCACAGCTGCCTCCTCCTTTTGAGTTAAATCTCTTCCGGAGCATCTACACATGCAATTAATGCTATTTGGCTTTACTGCACAGTAAATTTACTACCTACATATGCAAGTAGTAAATTTACTGCACAGTAGATTAACTTACTGTGCAGTAAGCACCTGCATGGGTAGACAGTGATGCTTTACTGCACAGTAGTCTATTGTGCAGTAAAAAGCATCCCATGCTATACACAGCCTCTGTGTACCTGGTGTATCAGAAGTCTATAGATCACAGCTAATTAAAGCTGCCCAAAGGATTTGGATGCCCAGTTTTCATTATAATTAAAGGGACTCAAATCCTGAGACCCTTTGTCAGTCTTGGATGAGGTACCATCCTCAATTGCCATTGGGGTTCAAGACAGTGCTGTACAGCAGCTGGTCCTTGGTCAGCAAAAAGGTAACAGAGAGCTTATGGGGCAAAGGGAATCTTTGTCAGACACCTCGGGCTTGACAACCCGCGTTCAGACTGTGAGGGGAAAGTACGTCGTGCACATTGTCCTGTCCATGTGAAGGGTCCCTCTTATCCCACCCCACAGTGTAGACGGGAAAGCGGGGAAGAAAGGGAAGTCACTCTCAGGGAATAATCCCACTAGCAGCTGCTTTACACTTTGGAGACATACTTGTGCAGGAATCAGTGCATTTGCCCACATGCTTTCTCAAGGGCTATATCAGTTTTCAGTCAGAAGCCAGTTTAGGAGCTAACAGACATTTCCTGCTATTTATAAGTCTTTCCCCTTAAGGCCTCAGCCTCACCACAGAAAGGACTTGGTTACAGCATGGTTGCAATGGGGAATGTAGACCAGGATTTAACTCCATTTTAGACATTTTAAATCCTGTAATACGTTGCCTATGGAAAACTCTATGTGTATCTATGCTATTTATATTGATATGCCGCCATCCTTGTAGGTACAGTATATGGAAAATATCAATGGCATAGGTACATATGGTGTTATCTTCTCTCCTTAAAAAATGCTCCCTGTGGAAGAGCAGTTTGAATAGTTATATATTAAGGATCACTTAACTGGATCCCAAGTGGATTTCCACTGCTGTTACATGAAGTTAGACATTCTCATTGAAACCTTACACTAAAAATGACCGATATTCTATATTTCTGAGGACAAGACTTCATGAATTAGTGCTCGGGCGAGAGCAGAGCACATATGATGCTGCTTTTATCTATGCAAAAAGCAACTCAAGACTCCTTCACTGTGTTTGAGAGCATTAGGAGAGACAGAAATGCTCAGTTCATGCCCAGTGAGGTATGTAATGCGTGGCACAGGTGGAGTCTAGCTCCATATCATGCGAACTGCAAGGTAATAAGAAAGGCTGGATCGCCCTGCATCTCCTGAACTCGCTGGCCAGAGTCATGCCCTGATGGCCAGGATCTCTGGAGCAGAAGCTCTGACTGTCGGTCTCTGTGCCGGCTGGGCAGGATTTGGCAGGGTTGAGGAGAATCAGCCCATGTGTTGCAATGCGCTATGGATAGTCCTATTCAAACTCTTTTTTGAAAGCAGTGGCAACTCTCCTGCTGATTTCAAGCAGAGCATAATCAAGTCCAATTTTTTCTCGTGGCTAAAAATGGGAAATGGCTACAATACTGGAGCTCTGATCCCTAGGGACTGAATGCCACAGGCTGAAGCTCTCATACGAAAGGTCTGTTTAAAAGGTTTCGTGAAGCTCATCATCACAACATACAGCACTAATGAGATGCGGTTCATGTTACTTTATTTAAATATAACAAAAACAGAACAACAGAATTCCCAAGTGGAAGAAATGACCCCATCCCCTTCAAAAAGGAATAAATAAGAAAAAAATAGTTTAGTAGTATTAATTAAGTTCAGTAGTATGAATTACCAGCTTTGGCAACAAAATCTGGATCTGAGCTACTCTTAAAATTCAGAGACGCTTTTTTTCCCTCTATGAAATTTAAAATAATCTATAGAAATGAGCGTTAAGTGCACTAAGGGATCAAATCATAGTCCTCTTGCATAAGTTATTTCATAGCCCAAGATTGTCTTATCCTTACTCTTGCCTTACCTTCCACCTTACTTCCTAAACAGTCCCATTTAAATGTGTGATACTACTTGCAGAGGAAGATGCCGAGCAAGTAAGGGAGGTAAAACTGGGCCCTCTGTTATCAATGTGCTAAACAACACTTTGCAGCACATGGAGAGTCCATTGAAAAGCAAACAAAATCAGGGTTTTTTTTAAATAAACAACTGTAGACAAAGGCAACGTGTACGTCACTCCTGGCCCCACTCCCCAGCTCCCCCCTTCTACTTTTATTGCATCAAGAATTACATTTTGGTCATGAAACAGAATGATTTTGCTTGCTAAAATGCCGCAAGTTAAGGTACCTAAATAAATGCAAGTCCCATCAAAATCAAAATGTGGCCTAAGAATAAAGAGAGACAAGGTCCTGATTCAGGACAGCATTTTAAGCACGTGCTTAAGTCCATCTCTAGCCAGGAAAGAACTTCAGCACCTGCTTAAAGCTACCGATGTGTTTGAGTGCCTTCCTGAATCTGGGCCCAAATGCAGACCTGCTGGAGGCCAGAGAAACCCCAGAGGCTTCGGGGACAGCCCCAGGCCTGCATCTGGCCCCTTGCAATGCAAATGGATGACCATTGAGGGGATTCAGGTTTCTCCTTCAACACACCGACTAAAAAGATGGTATTGGGCTAAAACGTTTATTTTGTGTTTTAAAATTCTCCGGTAAGTTATCACCATTCACGTTAAAAATTACAAATCTCGTAACACTTTCCCCTCCTCCTCCTCCTCCTCGCTGTCAGTCACGTTAACTTGCTGGATGCTGGAGGGTGTTGACGGGGTTCCCGTGAACGCGTTGTCCAGGGTTCCGATATCCAGCTGCGGCACGGGGTTTAAACATTCCTCCTCGCTGTGGCTGTGGCTGTTGTAATAAGACACCCCCTCGAGGCTCTCACAGCTGTGGGAGTCTTCGCTATGTGTGTGTTCGTCTGGGTACTCCCTGAAAGGATAGTCTCTGTTCAGAGCAGAGAACATGGCTTCGTGCTTTTGGTACTGGTCTTCGTAGAAGCCGAGGCATTCGGGCACCGAGCTGGCGAAATTCCCATAGCCAAACGGAGGGCGGCTGTACGGGCACGTGCTGTGTAAAAGAGACCAAAATACATTCAGTCGCACCTTCTCCCATCACACTAAGCTGTCCTGTGAAAGGACAATATAACAGACTGGCTATACAGGTATCCAGGCCTGTAGAGCTACCTTAATAATCTACATGAGCAAATCCACAGGGGATAGAGATACTGAAAGACGCCAGCCACGCTACATATAATAAGAGGCATGTGCAGATTCTAGGACAGAGACACTTGTCTTCATGGCCAGCCAAATGCTGAATCCACGCACAAAGCTTTGATTAATTTAAACAACGCAACAAGGTAGTGATTATTTTGAACGTGGGAAAGCTGGGGCATCATCACCTGGTCTGTGTCATCTCAGTTTGTGGTGGAGATAAAAAAAGGGTCAAAATATTCCGCTGATTTCTTTTTTAAATGGTGTCTCACATCTGCTAACTTGTTGGTAGACAAGGAGAGTATGTGAGGAGGAATGTGGGAATGGGTTTCCTGTGAGAAACTTCACAAGAAAGGACCACAGAAGCCGATAAGAAACCATGCCAGAAAAACAACTGCTTTCCGAGCTGGACTCTTTTATTCTGATTCAGGATCTTGAAGGCCAAACTGTATTACAATTTATACAGTGACACAGACATTTACAGCACTGTGTAGTCAGTACAGTGTGTGAAAGAAGTAATAAAAGCCTGGTCCAAAGATGTTATGTTTTACAGGCATGCACTGATGCAATGCATATGGAGGCTTCAATGGGACTATTCATATGTGTAAACTGAGCACATGGATCAGGGCCCAGAAGCAAATGGGACAAAAATAAATCTTCAGCAATTCTGGACACAGCGTCATTTATACAATTAGTGCTACACAAAAATGTCACCCATTCACATGCAAACAGTAGCCCTCAGACAGGAACTTGCAAACGAGCCTGCTGGAGGGGTCTGCCTGCTGATGCAGTCTGTAATTTTTCAGAAGCACAGTTTGTATTAGAACAGGGGTTGGCAACCTATGGCCCATGGGCTAGGTCTGGCCATTGGATCCAGCCTGTGGACATGGGACTTTGGCAGCATTCAGTGGCAGCAGGCTTTGACTTCGGGCACAATCCCTGTAACACTGCAAGGAGAAGCGTTGGTTATGGCCAGGTCCGAGCGCCTGCCCATGCTAGGGGACCGCCCTGAGGGGGTCATTCTGGTCTGTAGCTGGAAAAGGTTGCCTGGTACTGTATTAGAACACCAAACAACTCCCAACACCCGTCCTAGATCTACTCGGAGCATAGGGGTACAATAATCACAATAATTTGTTATGCTGAATTCCCTGTAAAACAATATAGGAAAACCAGTCATTACAAAGGTGCTTGCAGTCAGTTTAACCAACACCAAGGTACTATAGGTGAGGTACGCAACCCATGATTCACTGGTTCAAGGGGCTCTTCTACACCTGACTAACCCAAGAATGCAAAGACTACAATAGAGCCTGCTTACTGTAGATCCCCAGGGCTTCTCCCATCGGGTTAAACCTATGCAATACTAACGATAACTGTATTCATAGAACTGCTGTCAGCATGCTGCTTGTGGTGCTGTGTAGTCAGCTCAAATGCTCACCTAGTTTTAATCCCATTTGAGCTTTCATTTGTGTAATTTCACCTCGGTAACTTTTTGCAGGATTCAGTTGTCCTGTTGGACGTGGCCTGGGATATGGTGACAGGGTGGCTCAGATGTCCTGCCGTGGCTCGATAAGGTATGAGTGCAAAGCCTTACTTTTGACCTGTGCTCACAGGCCGTCTCCAGATGACCCAGCTGTAAGACTGGGCATTGGGTCATTCAGGCCGTGGAGTCAAAGGCAGCTGAGCATGGTGCGACCTACACTGCTCCCTGGGGAATCACTGCCTACAGAAGATGGTGTGCCTTAACCCTGCCACCCTGAGGGACTGTGCTGGTCCAGTGGACCTTGTTGGGAGCGGAGTGGAAGGAAGCAAATGTTTTTATCTGCTCAGGAGTTGCTAAAGCCTGCTGGAGCCACCAGTAAGTGGACACAACTTAGAGCAGCCTCAGGCTGAAAAGACAGCAGTCAAACTGCTGCTATGCCCAGCCCTGCTTTTCTGCACAGAGTAGTTTGAGCTGTTGGCTGTTCCTTCAGCTTGCTCTCAAAGTGATAGGTTTCTTGGATTTCTAGCACAGACACACTCACTTTAAATTGACAGTGTTGTTACCTGGAGGGAAAGTAGTGAGGTCCAGGCAGGAAGTATGGGTGGTGGAACGAAAACCGAGGCGGCGCTCCAAAAAGAGTGGCCGGGTGACCAATGGGAGGAGGCTGGTAGAGGTGTGAGTGAGGAATGGCGGTGGCTGGAGGGAGCTGGGCGCTCCGCGGACAAGCAGCCACACTGGAGTACTCGTTGGGGGGCTGGCTGGTAGAGGCAGGGAATCTGGTGTGGGTGATGCTCGTGCTAGTAGGGTTCCTGCTGGCACTCTCAATGCACACCGGGGTGGGTCTCTTCACAGAGCAACTGGATCCGGAAGTGACGTTGTGAGCTTCTGTCTGGGCAGGTCCCGTAAAGTGCTGCGGGGGGATGACTGGGTGCAGGGGCAGACTGGGAGCTGGGACAGCCATGGACGTGGTGCTTCCCACACTGGGCTGGAAAAGCGTAATCGGGCCTGGGTGCTGAATGGAAGCTGAGAGCTGGATGGTAGAAGCCTCACCTTTCAAAAACAAAAATAGCTTAGCTGACTACTTGTTAAACAGAAGCCACCTCCTCAACACCACTTCCCTTCCACTCCCATTTGCAGGCCACACAGTGTTGAGGAAACGCATCCGATGAATCAAGAACATCATGCACATACATTTACCCAGTTTCCCTGTGGTTCTAAGAAGAGGGAACAAGTGGCTACATTACACTGCCCCCATACTTGGTTCTTCCAGTTATTGTAAGAAAGTACGCAATACCCAGCACTAGGTCACTGCTATGTCATTCTGAATCACTTGCCTTATCCAACCAAAATGCGGGGGAGGTCCAGCAGGTAACATGAAGCTTTTCCAGGTGGTACCTGGTCGGGCCGTAAACCCTTCCGAGTATTACTACCCACCAGAAATGAGCACGGCCTTTGTTCAGAGGCAACAGGAAAACAATAGCAACCCTTTCAACTCAATGCTCATGTTGGGACCAGGAGTGAGTCCAAAGGAATCACACCACCACCACTTCTTGATGTGTATGAGGTCTTCTTATAAAGCTCCCCCTCCAGGCACTGCCAGAGCTGCTTTAATTATGAGATAAGGGATTGCTGATCAAATCGGTACTATGCTGCAGAGCCATGAGCTGTAGTGGAATACACCTTTTCCACTGGCCAGCTTCCATAAGGGGGAAAGGGGCCAGGCCCCTTTTCAAAGGGGGAAAGGGGCCAGGAGGCTTCCCTGGCTGACCAGAGAAATCCAGGGCAGCCTAAGGGACAAAAGGGGAGCACATAAAAAGTGGAAACAGGGAGAGATCACCAAAGATGAATATACCTCCTCTGCTCGTGCTTGTAGGGAGGCAGTTAGACGGGCCAAAGCTGCCATGGAGCTGAGGAAGGCAACCCAAGTAAAAGACAACAAGAAATTGGTTTTTAGATATATTGGGAGTAAAAGGAAGGCCCAGGGAGGAATAGGACCCCTGCTAAATGGGCAGAAACAATTGGTGACGGACAGAGGGGACAAGGCTGAACTCCTCAACGAGTTCTTTGCCTCAGTGTTCCTAAGTGAGGGGCACGACAAGTCTCTCACTGGGCTTGTAGAGAGGCAGCAGCAAGGTGCCAGACT